TCCTCCTCCTCCTCCTCCTCCTCCTCCTCCTCCTCCTCCTCCTCCTCCTCCTCCTCCTAGGGAGGGAGCCGCCGTCTCCCCCGCCCCGATCCGGGGCGCGACGCTGGGACGCACGACGGGGGGGCCCCGACCGGGAGGAAGAGGAGGAAACGAGGAGGAGGAAAACGAGGAGGAAAACGAGGAGGAAAACGAGGAGGAAAACGAGGAGGAAAACGAGGAGGAGGCAAACGAGGAGGAGGAAACGAGGAGGAGGAAAACGAGGAGGAAAACGAGGACGAGGAAAACGAGGAGGAGGCAAACGAGGAGGAGGAAACGAGGAGGAGGAAAACGAGGAGGAAAACGAGGAGGAAAACGAGGAGGAGGAAAACGAGGAGGACCACCGGTGGGGCGCAGGTCGCCTGCCGCGCGCGCGGCGCTACAAGCCAGCGGCTGGGCAGGCCCACGCGCGCGGCCCAGCAGGGCAGCGCGTACAGCAGCGCGGCGCCCAGCAGCCAGGCCTCGGCGGAGGAGGAGGAGGAGGAGGAGGAGGAGGAGGAGAGAACTCAGAGGCCGAGAGAGAGAGAGGTAGAGGAGGAAGAGGAAAAGAAGGAGGAGGAGGAGGAGGATAAGCCGCGCCAACCGCCGCCGCCAACCGCCGCGTGGGCGGCGGTCGCCCTCTGGCGTGGCCAGGCGGAAGGCCAGCTGGCTGCAGTCCTCGTGCCACGAGGAGGAGCGCTGGCGAAGGACAGGAGGGGCTTCGCTGGCCACGGCGAGCCTCAGCCAGGAAGAGGCTCCCCGACCTGGGCCTGAGGAGCGGCCCGGAGACCAGATCCCCTCCCGAGCCCAAGGCGGTCCTTACAGTCGACCCGTATAAGGACGCACGACAAGGATGCAAGGGCCTTGGAAGACCGTGTCGACACTTCGCGGGCGGGGCGCGGCCAGCAAAAGCGGCCAAGGATGGACCGAGGAGGCAAGGATGCAAGGGTACCCTTGGGAAGGTTGCCCATCCGTACTGTGCGGGTTAACTGTAGCTCAATGTCTTCAATGCATGTATGTAAAGATCAGGGGCCAGTCCACGAAACGTCGGCGGCTCGCCAAGAGGGGTGGGGGGGGGAGGGGGGCGAACGGGGCGGCAGTATACGGAGATAGGTGGCCTTTCAAGACGGGTCGCAGGCGTCTAAGGGCGCTCTTCAGATTGCAGGAAGATTTCTAAGGAAGGGCCTCGGCCCTCTTAGATGACCAATAATTTGACCCCCCCCTGTGCGCCCCGCCAGAAGGAGGAGGCGGTGGTAAGTAGGCGGTGGCTTCTTAGAACGGATCGCAAGCATCTAAGGGCGCTCATCAGGCTGCAATCGGGTTTCTAAAAAAGGCCCTCTGCCCTCTTAGACGGCCAAGAATTGGACCTCCCTTGTGCGCGCCGCCAGAAGAAGGAGGATGCGGTGGTAAGTGGTCGGAGGAATTAGAGAACCACTGAACCATTCGGGACGGTCCCATCTTCGGCATATCCTTCCAGACTAGGCTGGGGCCTAGGTCCTCTGGTGAAGCGTCTCCGCTCAAGACCTCGCTTTGAGCCCCCTCCCTGGAAAGAAGCGCCGCGGTAGGACGACTGCTGGCCGTGCGCAGTTCAGATCGGAAGATCGCGAAGGATTGCTCCGCCGCCGTCGACCCCGCTGAAGCTGCTTGCGCTGCTGCGGATGTTGCCACCACCTGCCGTTGCCACCACTGCGGGGCGAGAAAGAGCGCACACTTTCCAGTGAACCTACCGAACGAGGTACCCAAGTCACACCCACGAAAACATCGTAACAACAACATTGCGAATACACGTGAAAGGACACTTAAAAATGTCACCAACCTCGGATGTGCAACTGCAAAGCGTTACACACATCAGAACATCGACTGGTCGACACGTGATTCGATGACAACTGTGGAAAATAGACTCTGGCCAAAAAAATGTGTTACGAAATTGGCAGCGCTACATATGTATATACTGTAATCAAGATCCACGAAGGTCGGCGGTGAAACGAAGTGATCCTATGTGCATGCAGGGAGCTACCGTAATCCGCTGACCCTTCGGCGTGTGAGACGCAGTTGGCGTCTCCTTCGTCGTCGTCATCGTCGTCGCCAGTCCCAAGAAAATTGAGGAACGAACAGAGACAAGCAACGCCGTAGTGAAGCCGATGTCCGCCCCGTTTTTCCCTTCCTGGACCGGGGAGGGGGGATACCGTGGGGGGGCAGGCGGGGGGGTCCTAGGTCAGATCACCGCCCCCCGGGCGTCCCAGGGGGTGGTCCACCAGGGAGGGGTCCCCCGTGGGAGGGGGCCGGCCCTGGTCCCGGCCCCGGCCGCGGCCCCAGCCCCGACCCTGGCCCGGACCCCGGCCCTGGCTCCGGCCGAGGCCCCGGCCCTGGCCCCGGCCGCCGGACCCGGGCTGCCGGGAAGGGGCCCCGGGCTCACGGGGAAGGTCCCGCATGTTCAGGGTCGACGGCACTGGCCGTGAGGTCATCTTCAGAATACAGCAGAACTCCTCACCTCGTACACCAGCAAAGATCACACTCTACACGGCAACCTTGCGCAGTAGACACTGCAGACCAAAGCGCCCGCTATCTACTCAGCTTCACTTTTGAGCCCACGTGCCTTCCTGTTGGGTACACTTCGTACAGAAGCCAACCTCGTCACAACCACCAATCCAATCCAAGCTCCGTCTTTCGCGCGATTTAATGGAACGGCAAGCCCACTGTGCAGCAGCGGATCCGCGCTCGAGGACCAGCGAAAGCTCGGAGAGCGGGCACGAAAGCAGGCCAAACCGGCTGTGGGGTTGCGGCCGTGGCCTCAGAAGACCGCTGTGGGCGACATCGGCGCCACTGGAAAAAACTGCTCGGCGAGCAGCATTCCACGCTAGGCCTCCTCATCCTCCTGATCCTCCAGCTCCTCCTCCCCCTCCTCGTCCTCCTGCTCCGCCTCCTCCCCGTCCTCCTCCTCCCCGTCCTCCCCGTCCCCCCCGTCCTCCCCGTCCTCCTCCTCCTCCTCCTCCCTCCTCCTCCTCCTCCTCCTCCCTCCCCCTCCTCCTTTCCCCTCCTCCTTTCTCCTCCTCCTCCTCCTCCTCCTCCTCCTGCTCCTCCTCCTCCTCCTCCTCATCCTGCTCCCTCCTCCTACTCCTTCTCCTCCTTCCTCCTCCTCCTCCTCATAATAATAATAATAATCCTCCCGTTCTTCAACTCTTTCCCTTTATAAACAACTTCTCCCTGTCGCACCCCGGAACCAATTGTTACGGCGGGCCGGGCGGTTCGCCTTCCTTACCACTTATGACCCTGAAGCTGAAAAATTGGCGGTGTCGCAGATGGAGGGCGGGTCGTTTTCAAAATGTGGCTCTCGCCTAAGCGCCGCGCACATTGGTTTTAAAATGTTGCAATGGTGTCGCGAATTGAATGCGGATGGTTTTCAAAATGTGGTCCTCGCCTGAGCGCTGCGCATATTCGTTGTACAAAGTTACCAAAGCGTCACGGATTGAGGGCGGATGGTTTTCAAAATATGGCTCTCGCCTTAGCGCCGCGCACATTCGTCCTACAAATGTGCAAGAATGTCAGCAAGTTGAAAGCGGTTCCTCTTCAAACTGTGGCCAACGCCTTAGCGCAGCACACATTCGTTTATACGATTTGCAAGAGTCTCATGGAGTCCCATGTTGAACGTACTAGAAACTGTGTTTTGGAAGGATTCACGATTATGAGGGCGCAACTGTTGCGTTGATTCGCGGTGTTGAAGGCATGATTCGCGGTTTCAAACGATTGACTTCCAACGAAGCAGTTCCCTCAGTGGAAATGACCCATTGCAGGGCCATATGAAGAGGGAGCTTGGATGGAGGGTTTATTCCTACATCATTGGCGGCTCTTGGGTTCACCCTGGTCCTCCTCCTCCTCCTCCTCCTCATCCTCCTCCTTCTCCTCCTTCTCCTGCCCCTTTTCCTCCTCATCCTCCACCTCCTCCGCCCACTCCTGGTGCCGCGCAGAAAAAGCGTGGGACGAGGGGGGCGGCTGTGTCAAAGGCACGGAGGCTTCTGAGAAGGCTTTTCAAAAGGCGGGAGGACTCCGAAAAAAAGACCCCCCTGCTTTAAAAGAACGCTTCCCCCTTTGCCCCACCACATGTTGCACAATCACCGAAACTATCACATCCTCCTTTTCCTCCTCTTCCAACTCCTCCAACTCCTCCTCCTCCTCCTCCTCCTCCTCCTGCTCCTAATTATCCTCCTCATCCTCATCCTCATCTCATCATCATCACCACCATCATCATCCTCCTCATCATCCCAAGTATCATGCTCGTCCTCAGCCTCGCCATCATCATCATCAACAGCATCATCATCAGCAGCAGCATCAGCATCAGCATCATCAGCATCAGCATAACCATCATCAGCATCATCGTCATCATCATCACCACAATTATAGCCAGCATCATCCCCATCATCATAAACGGGATCGAATTCATCATCGACAAGATCAACATGATCACCATCATCAACATCATCATTATCATCATCATCATCAGCATCATCATCATCATCATCAGCATCATCATTGTCAGCATCATCAGCACGATTCATTCACATGCACCTACTAATCAGTAACATCATCATCACCATCATCATCATGATCATCATCATCGTCATCATCATCACTATCATCCTCATCGTCATCGTCGTCATCATCATCCTGTGCGTCCTCCTCCTCTTCCTCCTTATGTACCTGTCCTCCTCTCGCTCCCACTCCTGCTCCTCCTCCTCCTCCTCCTCCCCCTCCTCCTCATCATCATCATCATTATCATCGTCGCTGGCGTCGTCGCCAGAATCTCAACAGCATCATCAGCATCATCATCACCGATCTCATTGTCATCATCAGCATCAGCATCAGCATCAGTATCATCATCAGCAGCAGCATAATAACTAATCGTCGCCAACGTCATCGTCATGGTCATCGTCATCATCATCGTCACCGTCATCATCATCATCAGCATCATCAGCATCCTCATCATCATAGTCATCATCATCAGTATCAGCATCATCATCAGCATCATCGTCATCATCATCATCCAACATCATCAGCATCATCAGTATCATCATCATCCTCATCATCATCATCATCCTCATCATCATCATCATCATCATCATCATCATCATCATCATCATCATCATCCTGTGCCTCCTCCTCCTCTCCCTCCTTCTGTACCTTGTCCTCCTCTCCCTCCCACTCCTCCTCCTCCTCCTCCTCCTCCTCCTCATCATCATCATCATCATCATCATCATCATCATCCTTGCCCTCCTCCTCCTCATCCTCCTCCTGCTCCTCCTCGTCCCCAGAGGTCTCCCGGTGGGGCATCTGGCACTCTCTGGAAGCGCCTCCAGACCCCCCCAGAGGCTGGCTGCCTCTCTTGGGAAACTTACAGCATTGACCAAAACACGCCCGAACAAAAACCTCGGCGCCCAGCGCGCCGCCAGAGCGGCAAAAGCGGTGTCGGGCTGGGGCCGGCGCCAGCACCGGCGCGGCCACGGGACCGGCGGAGCCCTCGCCAGCGACACCGCTGGCCAGATGGTCCCCGGCCGACGCTGCGGAGAGCGAAGTGGGCTCGGCCTCCGCGGGCCCTCGCCCCCGCCCTCTTTCTCCTGTCCCTCTTCTCTGTCGCCGCTGTTGCTGCAAACTCTCCCCTCCCTCCCTCTCCCCCTCCTGTTGCCATTCTCTCGTCTCCTGCTCTTTTCTCGTCGTGGCGAAATGTTTTGCTGCAGAATCTCACCAGCCCTCTACAGCCCCTCTTTCCCCTATTTGGGGAGGGGTTTATCACTGTTCCTTAGAAGTTAAACACCCCTCCCCCACCCAAACGGCGACGAACCTGGAATAGTGCCAATCACCCCCCCTCATCCTCTTCGCAAATAAACAATGCGGAGTGCATGATGCAGCACAATCTGGATCATGCGCGGGCTCCCCGCGATCACTTTGCATGGGTTTTTGACGAAGAAGGCGGGGGGACGGCGTATTGCCTGCTGTGTGCAACACCAACACACCCACCATCCCATGCAAAAAAAACAAAACTAAGTGTACTGAATCAATGCCAAAAATCTGGATCACACGCAGCCTCCCCGCGATCACTTCGCATGGGTCTTTCACAGGGATGGCGGGTGGCTGGCATATTGCCTGCTGCGCGCACGCCCACCATCCGTTGAAAGTTTCGAGAAATTCACCTTGCCAGGGACGGCAGGGGAGGCTGGTAAACTGCCTCCTGTGTGCAGGCCCATCTTTTGCAAAAGAATGCCACGCGAACTTTGCACCAACTCCTGGATCATGCGCGGGTGCCCCACGATCGCTCGGCATCGGCTTCTGCGGGGACAGCGTACTGCCGGAGGCGCACTCGCTTGGCCGACGGTGGCTGCCCCACTGCTGCTGCCGCGGAGCCTGTCGCACCGAGCAGTGCCCCAATCCCGTGTCTTCCGCAATGTGCGTCCAGGGATATACAGCGCGCGGATCCGTCCTGTCGCAATTGAACTTCTAACATGCACAGCGGGATCACCGCATAGACCTCCTTTGAATGATAAGGAAGTCGGCTGGGCTCAACATTTGGCTTGCGTTGGACGCACAATTCAACTCAACAGTGGATACACATGGGGGCAAAACCTTGATTTGCAGACCAACTGCTTTGCATTCTGACTGCTTTCCTCTGACTATCCATCGATCGGTCTCACTAACTATCTACCTATCTACATACTGTATGTATGTACATAGAGTTATGTATGTACAGAGAAATAGATACAGACCTACATACATACATACATGCATACACATACATATATACATGCATACATACATATATACATACATACATACATACATGCATAAATGCATACATACATGCATGCATTCATGCATACATGCATACATGCATACACACACATACATACATACATACATACATGCATGCATGCATGCATACATACAAACATACATACATATACATACGTACGTACATACATACATGCATACATGCATACATGCATGCATGCATGCATGTATACATATATAGATACATACATATATACATATATACATACATACATACATACATACATACATACATACATACATAGATACATACATACATACATACATACATACATAGATGCATACATACATACATACATACAGACAGACAGATCTACATGCATACATACATACATACATGCAGACATACATACATACATACATGCATACATACATACATACATACATACATACATGCATTACATACACACACATGCCTACGCACATACATACATACATACATACATACGTACATACATACATACATACATACATACATACATACATAACCCGGATTACATATATACATACATACATGCATGCATACATACATACATTCATGCATGCATACATGCATGCATGCATGCATGCATGCAAACATGCATACATAGATGCATACATACATACATGCATACATGCATACATACATGCATACATACATATATCTATATATAGGCATACATACATACATGCATCCATAAATACATGTTTACATGCATGCATGCATGCATGCATACATACATACGTACATACATACATACTTACATACATACATACGCCGGGTCAACAATCGGGAAACAATCGGGACAACCGTTAGGACAAACATCCCAGCGCCGTGGGAACGGCTTCGCCATATTCTCAGGCGTCTGAGTGTTGCTCTCCGTCGTGCTCTTGCGCATTCTACTGCTGGGACCTGTCGTGTTACGTTGGACTGCTGGCGGACACCATCGGGACGACAATCGGTTCCTGATGATGCGTGGGGGCGCGATGCCAAAGAGACCACGCGTTGTCAATGGATGAAGGTGCTGCGTGCTCCCCAGTGAAGCCACCCTTCTCACTGAATACTTAGCACTTCACGTGAGGGGGGATACAACCTCATGAACTCATTGGGATTGGGGCCCTCCGCTCGGGTGCTGCCTATGTGTTGGAAGGGTGGGCGGGAGCGAGCGAGACGGCACCTCCGGGGGGGTAACTTGACCTCTCCCCCTGCTCCCTCCCCGTGGGCCTGGACGGGGGCTGGGCGCGGGAAGTTGGAGCGTCCGATATGGCTCGAGATAGCGCCAGGAGGGCTTCAAAGAGCGCAAGATGGCCTCCCAAACGGTTCAAGATATACAATGATGGCTCAAGATGGCTTCCAAGGTGCTTCAAGAGGCCCCAAGACCGCCCCAAGACGGATCCAAGTGGCCGCGGAACCCCCAAGAGGCCGAAATCCGTTCAAAAAATGAAGATGTGTGTTGCCTTCTCGCCTTTTCGCTTCCGCCTCAAGATGGACCCAAGACAGCCCAAGAGAGCCCCAAGAGGGACTCTAGATGGCCCCGAGACGGCCCCAATAGCGCCCAAGAGCGCAACGAGACTCTAGAGTGGCGGCGCTATTTTCCACCCTGGCTTTTTTCATCGATGTCCTCCAAGATGGCCCTAAGAGGCCGCAAAACCGCCCAAAAGAGCTTCAAGAGAGCCCCTAGAGAGTCTCAAGAGGGCCCTAGAAAGGCCTACCATGCTTCCACATGGTTCCAAGATTGCTAAAAGACGCCCCCAAGAGGCGTCCCAGAGGCTCGCGGAACGAAAGCTCAACGAAGGTATTCATGGTTGATTCGTCGTCGTCATCGCTGTCGACGTCGTCGTCTCCTTCTCCCCTCCCTATTCTCTTCCTTTTTTCTTTCTCCCCCATCTCCTCGTCCTCCTCCTCCTCCCCCTCCCCCCTTCCTTCCTTCGGACCAACCAGAACTATCATGCATAAATGAACACTCAACACAACAACCAAAATTCTGCTTGCCTCCGAATCTGGAGCATGCGCGTGCGCCCCACGACCACTTTACAGTGGTTTGTGACAGGGGCGCCGGGGCTGCCCTCCTACTGTTGTCCCGCGCGGGCCAGCCATCCTCTACGAAACAATATGAGATACATGTTGCCTGCAGCTATGGAGCAGTCGTGGGCGCCCCGCGACCACTCTGAACTTGATTATGACGGGGACGGCGGGAGTGCCCTCATGCTGCTTGCTCCCCGCAGGCCCACCGTCTTCTAATGACCACGAAAGATACATGTTGCCTCCAAGTCTGGAGCATGCGCAGGCGCCCCGCGACCACTTAGCAAGAGTTTTTGACAGGGATACTCGAATGATACTTTTGTGTTCGCAACGGCGAGTTGGAATAAGCGAGACGGCTTGTGCCTTGTCAGCAGGAGGTGTCTTGATCACTGTCCCTTATTCATAAACGCCCCTCCCCCAAGCGACCGGCAGCCAACCCAGACCAATGGGCCCCCCCCACCATCCCATGTAAAAAAATACAACGTGCATTTTGCATTCGAATCTGGAGCATGCGCGGGCGCCCTGCGACCACTTCGCATTGGTTTTTGACAAGGATGGCGGGGGTGCCTGCATATTCCTTGCGGCGCGCACGCCAACCATCTCTTATCAAAAATGGAAACCAAAAAGAAAGAAGCTAGGAAGTTGAGTTGTCTTGGAACTTGGAAGCCGAGAGTTCGAATAGACAGCGGGGTTTCGGAGACTGGCCTGGCAGCAAGTGAATACGAACAGACAGCGGGGCCAAAAAGCAAAAATTTTACATGAAAAGCGGGCGCGGAAACAACAGTTTAACAGACAGTGGTTTTGGGATAGATGAGTTTAAAAGACCATCAGGGCCTGAGACAAACAAATTGGATCTTCAAGCAGGCACGGACGACGGAAAAGTGGACTGTTGATGAGCCATTGAATGTGAGACGGCAGTAATGCAATCCGACATTGGAACACGCAACAAGTGAACTCGAACAGACATCGCAGCTAGGAAACACATAATGTACCAATTAGCAGTGGAAAACCAAGTTTCAGTATATGTTGCGGGGCCTTGGGTGCAGGCATCCTACAGCAATGCTAGAACAAACGAGAAACTGTGGAACAAAAGAGCTTGGATCAACCGCGATATATTCACGCACGAGCTTGAGCAGAAAACGAAATTCTACGAGGAGACGAAACGACCGCGGTGAGAGAAGAAGACAGAATAGGCAGCGGGGTCTGGAGAGAAGGAATCTGAAAAACAGTGGCGCCTGGCTGGTAAAACCTCGGACGAACAGCAGGACCTGAAGAAAGAAATGTCAAGCGAACGCGTCGCCTGGACAAAAAAGAAAGGGAGAACAGACTGCTGTGCCGAAAAATCGCGAGGTGACACTGGGACCCTGGTGGTGGGATGTTGGATGCGCAGTGGGACCAGGAAGACGGCATTTCGAAATAGACAGCTAAGCCTGGGAGAAAGACTTTCACCAGACAATCGGGCCTGGATGACAGACGTATTCACATACAGCTATGGGGCCTGGAAGATATGACTCCGAAGAGGCAGCAAAACATTAAAGAAATTGAAAAGAGGGTGGTGCACGAAAGACACAAGTATGAATAAGCAGTGGGGCCTAGTAGACAAGGTGAGTAGACAATGAGGCCTGACGGCAGATACGTTGACAGGCTAGACCAAGATATGTTCAAAATGAAACAGACAGCAGGGCAAGTGATAAAAAGAAAAAATGTGAAATAACGCTCCGGAGGCTGCAAGGGCCAACAAAGGAAGCAACAATGCCTGAAAGAAAAACGTCACCTTAGACCGCGGCGCCAGAAACACATGAAAACATCTAAGCGGTTGAGCCTGGCAAATGGAAAATCCAACAGACGTCGGAGTTTGGAAGGTATGAACTCAATGGGCAAGAAGGGCCCAACGAACAAACGATGCAATAAAAGATGGGTCTGCAAGACAGGGAAGCGAATGGACCACCGAACATGAGGGAAAAAGTGACGTCTCAAATACGGGAACTTGAGCAAACAATGCATCCTAGAATAGACCAAACACTGGAAACTGGGAGAAAGGGTAAGTACGAGCATCAGTTCTGTAAAGCGGAAAAAAAACGACGGACAGGAGAGCGGTGCTTGCAAGAACTGTTCTGCGGCAGCCAGCGAGGCCCGAAATGTAAACCTCAAAACATAGTCGGGGGGCAAAAAAATACAAGTTTGAACAAGCAATGCGCTCTGGAAGTAGAAGGTTGACTAGATAGCGGGACAGGGAAACCTCGAGATTGATGATTCAGCGGGACCCGAAAAATTCTTTGAAAGGTAGTCGCGCTTGGTGGGACAAATGCACTGCTCAGATTATGGTAGGCAGAAGGCAGAAGGCAGACGATGCTAGGCTAGTTGTTCGCGGGACAATGTAAGAAAACAAGAAAGGCAGATGATGCTAGGCAGAAAGCGCTAAACGGATAACGCAGGTGCAGCTGCCTGGGCAACGCTACGTGAACAAGATTGGCCAGGCCACATTGGCAACGCGGTCTAGGCAACGATGGCCTAGCTGCGCAAGGGATGGTAACCAATGCGAGTCTAAGTTCATGGTCTTGGCTAGCATGGCCTACGCTAGCCACCCTACGGCCAGCCAGGTGGAATTTACGTACTACATTCGGTATGTCAAACGGGCAGCACTATGATGGCCACACTCCAGACTCGGCATGCCAAAACTTCATGTGCCTCGTCAGAAATCCGAAATTCATACCTGACATTGCTATGGCAAACTCAGACGAAACCGCTCCGGCTGCTAAAATCATCTGCGCCATCTCCAAGGGCAGCCCTCTCAACTGCCGCCTCGCAACTTCCCCCTCCCCCACTCATCCCTCCTTTCCTGCCCTTCTCCTCCCCCTCTCGCCCTCCTCCTGGGCAACAGGAGAGCTTGATCGTCGCCCCCCACACCACGCTCCTCTTAGACATGCTGTCGGGCCGTCGTGGCCAATAGCGTCAACACGTGCGGGCGGCGCCCGCGCGATCAAGAACAGCAAAACGAACCCGATGAAGCTAAGGTCCCCCAGGACCCGCAAGACCGACGGGACGGGGGCGAGCGTGGGGTCGAGGCTCCCAAAAAAAAAACAGACAGCTGCTTCGACCCGGTCCAGTTTCGGGGCGAGAAGGCCGAGGTGGCCAGACCTTACCTGACACCTCCTCCTCCTCCTCCTCCTCCTCCTCCTCCTCCTCCTCCTCCTCCTCCTGCTCCTCCTCCTCCGCCTACTCCTCCTGCTCCTCCTCCCCTCCTCTTCCACCTCATCCTCCTCCTCCTTCTCGTCCTACTCTTCCTCCTCCTCCTCCTCCTCCTCCTCCTCCCCTTCCACCTCCTCCTCCTCCTCCTCCTCCTCGTGCTCCTCCTCCTCCTCCTATTCCTCCTCCTACTCTCCTCCTCCTCTCCTCTTCCATCTCTCCTCCTCCTCCTTCTCCTCCTGCTCCTCCTCCTCCTGTTCTCCTCCTCCTCCTCCTCCTCCTCCTCCTCCTCCTCCTCCTCCTCCGCAATCTGGCCGTTGCTACCGCCGCCGCCGTCGGTGGGCTCTGCAAACCCTCCCCCCGCCCCATGGGGGTGGCCTCTGGCCGCGCCGCGGGGGCGCACGAGCAGCTGGGCCTCGAGAGCGGCACGCCGTCGCAGCTGGCTGGGCCGCCCACGCGCCTGGAGACGGCGACGACTGCGGGATGCACGACAACGACGACGACAACGACGACGACGACGACAACGACGACGACTACAAAGAGAAGAACCGTGGATGCACGACCACGTCAGGCATCGTAACACACTTCGCACTGCGTGGCAGCAGCCGTTCAGGATCGAAACGCGTCTTCTTTGAGCAGGCTCAGAGGCCTGACGAGCGGGGACCTTCATTTAAACCGTGCACCGCCAAGGGGGTCCAGCGCCGATCCAAAAATCCAAGCGGACCTCCGGAAGCTCATGTTTGTGCAGTGTGTCATTGTCCGTTTCGAAACATGTGTACTGTTCGGAGGCGTGGCACGCCCCAGTCCGATTACCTCGGAACTGATAGTTTGCAACTCCACAGTTGATATATCTTCGTGGACGTATACACGAACAGACGATGTGACAAATCATACAAAACGTGTTCGCTGACTTCAAGACTTGTTATCCGTTCGAATGTACAAATATTTGTGTACACCGTTTGTGTCCCAGCATGGCTTCTCGTCCATACGGTTGAATGACATCTCTGTTCGAATAGACCGAGAGCACGAATGGTAACCATTCCAATCTACATTTGATAGAACCTCCTCTTCCCAGGAGCACCCAAAAAAACAGTGGAATAGTGACAGACATGATCATCTCTGGTGTTCCCCTCCTCCTCCTCCTCCTCCTCCTCCTCCTCCTCATCCTCTGCCACCTCCTCCTCCTGCTCCTCCTCCTCCTCCTCATCCTCTTCCTCCCTCCTCCTCCTCCGCCTCCTCCTCCTCCTCCTCCTCTTCCTCCCTTCTCCTCCCTCCTCATCGTCCTCCTCCTCCTCTCCTCCTCCCTCCTCCTCCTCTCCTCCTCCTCACCTCCTCCTCCTCCTCCTCCTCCTCCCTCCTCTCCTCCTCCTCCTCCTCCTCCTCCTCCCCCTCCTCCTCCTGCTCCTACTGATCATCACCGTCCCCCTCGAACCCGATCCCGAACCAAAGCGCGAGCTCGAGCGCGAGTCGGAGCGCAAGCTCGAGCCCGAGCGCCAGCGCGAAAGCGAACTCGAGCCCGAACCCCAGCCTGGCCCCGACCCCGACCCCGAACATGAACCCGACCCCGACCACAAACCCCGACCACGACTCCGATCCCGAGCCAGAGACGACTTCCCTTTCTCGTCTTCCTCCTCCTCCTCCCAAGTCCTCCTCCTCCTTCCCCTCTTCCTCCTCCTCCTCCACCTTTTCCTCCTCCTCTTCCTCTTCCTCCTCCTTCTCCAACTCTTCTTTTTCGAATTATAACTCGTCTGGTATGTGTGGCACTACAGATACGATTAGCATTATGGTTCTGATTTAAAAAGGTAATATTCGTATTGAGTTAGTAACACTGTTGTGGCTGTTATTCTACGTACTAGAACTGTTATCATGATACGTATGTGTGGTAGTAGTAGTAGTAGTAGTAGTAGTAGTAGTAGTAGTAGTAGTAGTAGTAGTAGTAGTAGTAGTAGTAGTAGTAGTAGTAGTAGTAGTAGTAGTAGTGGTAGAAGTAGTAGTAGTAGTAGTAGTAGTAGAAGTAGTAGTAGTAGTAGTGGTGGTGGTGGTGGTGGTAGTAGTAGTAGTAGTAGTAAAAAGCAGTAGTAGTAGTAGTAGTAGTAGTAGTAGAAGTAGAAGTAGTAATATAAGTAGTAGTAGTAGTAGGAGGAGTAGGAGTAGTAGTAGTAGTAGTAGGAGTAGTAGTAGTGGTAGTAGTAGTAGTAGAAGTAGTAGTAGTAATAGTAGTAGTAATAGTATTTAGATTGCTACGCTTAGTATTAGAGCTAATATCATCATGATTTAGTGTATGAGTATAACATGCTCTCCGTGATCTTATCATTAGTTGTGCTACTTATTTTAGAACTGGTAATATTCGTAGTGCAACGATGATGATTACAATCGGTGTTATGGTTGTTAGTTTAATATCACTCGTAGTTTTCAGAGTATTGCCACTGCTTCTCTTTCGTAGTCATAAGCTTCGCACGAGTTTTCATAATATTATCACGAATACTAACATTATTCGTCAGATTGGTCTTACTGATGCTAATAATAGCCGTGTTTATATTACTTGTGATTATGATGTGTACTAGTCGTCGTCCTCCTAACATATATGGAAAAAACATCAATCGTACTATTAGTGTTCGCCCTTGCCTTAGTAGTATAACTGTTCGCATTGTTAATAAAATTATCATCATCCTCCTTCTGCATGGTATGACAAATATGCCCATCGCATCATAAGTATGATATTGATGGTCGTATTAGTGTTACCGTTAATAATGTTCATGTGATTACGAATAGTATTCTTCTTACGATACGACTACTATGAATATTCATACGATCAGCCGTATTAATAAAATGCCAATAGTCTTGTTCTTGATGTGGAAATTGCTATTCGTAGACTCCTTACCATTCGTATCAATGTGATGGGTCTTGGAATTACATGCAGTATTACTAGTTTCCCCGGTATTTTTTCATTATTGTTACTAGTGTTGTAATGAATTATCCTCCTCCACTCCTTCCTCTTCCTCATGGTATTCCTCCTCCTCTTCCTCCTCCTCCTCTTCCTCCTCCTCATCTTCCTCCTCCTCTTCCACCTCATCCTCCTGCTCCTTCTCGTCCTACTCTTCCTCCTTATCCTCCACCTCCTCCTCCTCCCGCTCCTCCTCCTCATCATCCTCCTCCTCCTCCTCCTCCTCCTCCTCCTCCTCCTCCTCTCCTCCTCCTCCGCACTCCTCCTCCTCCTCTCCTCCTCCCTCCTCCTCCCCTCTTCCGCCTCTCCCTCCTCCTCCTCTCTCCTACCCCATCCCCGTTTTCCGCTCTCCACCTCATCCTCCTCCTCTTCCTCAACCTCATCATCATCATCATCGTCATCATCATCATCATCATCAACAACATCAGCATGATCATCATCAGTTTCACCATCGTCATCAGCATCATCACCATCAGCATCATCAGCAACATCATCATCATCATCCTCGTCGTCATCGCCATCCTCATTGCCAACATCATCGTCATAATAATCATCAACAACATCATTATCAGCATCAGCATCAGCATCAGCATCAGCATCATCATCATCGTCATCATCATCCGCTTCCTCTTCCCATCCTAATCCTCATCCTTCTCCCCCCCCCCCCCCCTCCTCCCCCTCCCCTTTCTTGGTCGTTCCTTCGAGGCGCGTGGCCTGTAGCGGTCATGCGAAAATTAGCATGTGATGTACCAGTGGAAACGACGAGTTGGCCGAAACTTGCATGGACAATCAACTTGATGCGTAAGATACTTGGGACACGCGCCTGTGACATGATGCGCAGGAGAACCATACAAGAACGAGGGGCGACAGCTACAGGTTCCAAGAGGACATGGGGAGTCGAGAACGCAGAGCAGGAGAAAAACGCGCGGGCAGCCGAACCATCAGCACGGCAGCGGCAGAGGGAAGGTGACTGCAGGAGGAGAACAAGGACGAAAGCGGCATCTAATTTGAGTCTGCGGTGGGCACCCACTTTGCTGTGCCCCTCAACAGTCCTCGAAGGTGGCGACAGCCTCACAGATCGCAGCCCCCCAGGGATGGCGAGGTCTAATTTGAGCCTGCGGTGGGTACCTACTGTGCTGTGCCCCTCAGCAGCCCTCGAAAGTGGCGACAGTTTCACAGATCGCAGCCCCCCAGGGATGGCGAGGTCTAATTTGAATCTGCGGTGGGTACCCACTGTGATGTGCCCCTCAGCAGCCCCCGAAAGTGGCGACAGCTTCACAGTTCGCAGCCCCCCAGGGACGGCGAGATTTAATTTGAATCTGCGGTGGGTACCCACTGTGCTGGGCCCCCCAGCAGGCCTCGAAAGTGGCGACAGTTTCACAGATCGCAGCCCCCCAGGGATGGCGAGGTCTAGTTTGAATCTGCGGTGAGTACCCCCTGTGCTGGGCCCCTTCAGCAGGCCTCGAAAGTGGCGACAATTTCACAGATCGCAGCCCCCCAGGGATGGCGAGGTCGAATTTGACCCCGCTGTGGGTACCCACTGTGCTGGGCCCCCCAGCAGGCCTCGACAGTGGCGACAGTTTCACAGATCACAGCCCCCCAGGGATGGCGAGGTCTAATTTGAGTCCGCGGTGAGTACCCACTGTGCTGGGCCCCCCAGCAGGCCTCGAAAGTGGCGACCGTTTCACAGATCGCAGCCCCCCAGGGATGGCGAGGTCTGATTTGAATCCGCGGCGGGTACCCACTGCGCTGGGCCCCCCAGCAGCCCTCGAAAGCGGCGACAGTTTCACAGATCGCAGCCCCCCAGGGATGGCGAGGTCTAGTTGGAAACTGTGGTGGGTACCCACTGTGCTGGGCCCCCCAGCAGGCCTCGAAAGCGGCGACAGTTTCACAGATCGCAGCCCCCCAGGGATGGCGAGGTTTATTTTGAACCCGCGGTGGGTACCCACTGTGCTGGGCCCCCCAGCAGGCCTCGACAGTGGCGACAGTTTCACAGATCGCAGCCCCCCCAGGGATGGCGAGGTTTAATTTGAGTCCGCGGTGGGTACCCACTGTGCTGGGCCCCCCAGCAGCCCTCGAAAGTGGCGACAGTTTCACAGATCGCAGCCCCCCAGGGATGGCGAGGTCTAATTTGAGTCCGCGGTGGGGCACCCACTGTGCTGGGCCCCCCAGCAGCCCTCGAAAGTGGCGACAGTTTCACAGATCGCAGCCCCCCAGGGATGGCGAGGTCTAATTTGAGTCCGCGGTGGGCACCCACTGTGCTGGGCCCCCCAGCAGGCCTCGAAAGTGGCGACAGTTTCACAGATCGCGGCCCCCCAGGGATGGCGAGGTAAAAGGCAAGGGGAAGAGAGGGACGGGGGGGGGGGGGAAGGAAGGTTCGCGCGAGCAGTGCTGTATTCTAAACGAGAACCCAACGCAGGAGGGTTGGGAGAAAACTCCAGCTCAGCAGCGCGTCGCGCAAATGAGGCCGACGGCACATACAGGACATGGAATGCCCCCCCCCCCCCCCCCCCGCC